GATGGGTCTTATTTTTTTAATCCATTCTCATACCCTGTATCTTTTCATTGGAGCATTTAGTCCATTTGCATTCAGAGTAATTATGATAGATAAGAATTTAGTGCCATTGTATTACCTGTAAAGTTGCTGTTTCTGGAAATTTTCTCTGTTCCTTTCTAGTCTTTGTTGCTTTTAGTCTTTCTTTCCCACTTAAAGTGTCCCCTTTAATATTTCTTACAGGGCTGGTTTAGTGGTCATGAACTCTTTTAGCTTTTGTTTGTCTGGGAAACTCTTTATCTCTCCTTTTATTCAGAATGACAGCCTCACTGGATAAAGTATTCTTGGCTGCATATTTTTCCCATTCAACATGTTGAATGCCACTCTCTTGTGGCCGGCCAGGTTTCTGTGGAGAGAGCTACTGCTAACCTAATTTATCTTCCCTTGTAGGTTAGGGATTTCTTTTCTCTTGCTGCTTTCAGGATTCTTTCCTTATCTCTATATTTTGCGAATTTAACTATGATATGTCTTGGTGTTGGCCAGCTTTTGTTGAATTTGATGGGAGTTCTCTGTTCTTCCTGGATTTGGATGACTGTTTCCTTCCCCAGATTAGGGAAGTTCTCAGTTATAATTTGCTCAAATAAACTTTCTGCCCCCTTTTCCCTCTCTTCTTCTTCTGGGATTCCTATGATATGAATTTTATTATGCTTTATGGAGTCACTGAGTTCCCTAAGTTTACATTCATGACCCAGTACTTTTCTTTTCCTCTTCTCTTCAGCTTCATTATTTTCCATAATTATATCTTCTGTATCACTGATTCGTTCTTCTGCTTTGTCCATCCTTGTTGTCATTTCATCCAGTTGGTTCTACATCTCAGTTATAGCATTTTTAATTTTTAATTTTTAAAAATACTTTATTTATTTATTTGAAAGAGAGAGAGAGAGACAGAGAGAGAGCACACACAAGTATGGGGAGTGGCAGACAGAGGGAGAGGGAGAAGCAGGCTCCCTGCTCAGCATGTGGGGCTTGATCCCAGGACCCTGGGGTCATGAACTGAGCTGAAGGCAGATGCTTAACCAACTGGGCCATCCAGGCACCCCTCAGTTATAGCATTTTTTATTTCAGCCTGACAAGTTTTTAGTTCTTTTACCTCTGCAGGAAAGAATCTCTAGTGTCTTCTATGCTTTTCTCAAGCCCAGCTAGTATCCTTATGATTGTTGTTTTAAGTTCTAGTTCAGGCATATTACTCATCTGTTTTGATTAGTTCTCTGGTCATCACTTCTTCCTGTTCTTTCTTTTAGGGTGAATTCCCCTATTGTCATTTTGGGTAGGTCAATGTTTTTGTGTGTGTGTGTGTTAGGAAAGCCTGTTACGTTTCCCGCTCCTGAGAGTAATAGCTATATTAAGAAGAGGTCCTATACTATCCAGTGCCTGGTGCTTTAGGACGTGTTTCAGAGTGTGCACTGTGCTGTTGTGTTTTGGCTGCTCTATCCCTCAAGTCAGTCCTCTGCAGAGTTTCTCTTTGCCTGCAGTGGGGAGTGTTTGGATTTTGTCCACAGTGTGGCAAGTTTTAACTAGGTGTGTTTTGGTCTGCTTGTTAAGAGGCTAGATCCTATTTCCCCTCCTGTTGAAGCTTTGCAGCACTCTATGGTCAGTAGACTTGGTGTGTGTGAAGGATTTGTGCTGGTCTTCTGGGGGAGGAGCCTGCTCTGCTGGTTGTCAAGCTGACTTGCCCTAGTAAAAGGTGCACCTATAGGGTACGGGGGGTGGGCCCTGCCACTGTTTAGGAAGCCCTCACAGAAGAGCAGTCTCCCCTCTTGTGTTCCTGGCTTCCATCAGACCCTGCCCTCATGCTGTCTGTGGCTGAGCCATCTGCCCACCGCATGGCACAGTACTCCTGTGTTTTCAAACTCTCAGGCTCCCGGCTGGGTTTCAAAACTCCAAATTTTAGAGACCCAGAGCAGTGCAGCATGGTGACAATCCTCTGGGGGAGGTCTTGCCATGCTGCAGTTGGTGCCCATTAGTCCCAGAAAAGCAGTGACGTGATTGCACAGCGGCTTGGAGTTTATGGTAGAGTGCAGCAAAAACTAGCACCAGGGTTTGCTGCTCTCAGCAGGTGTCTCTGTTCCTGTGCTAATGACCGGGGCAGCACACTGGTGCCCACCAGCTCTTTTATCCCCCGAGGGGCCATGCCACCTCTCCCAAATGTACTCCAAGAAGGGGAACTCTCTCTTCCAGCGCAACCCAGGGGATCCTCAAACTATGCTGTCCGGTCCCAGGTCTCTGCCTTCCTTCCTCATAGAAGCACTGCTATGGCTGCCAGCCTCCACCAGGCGGTGGCTAATGGACTTCTGAAGCTTCAGACTTTGGGCTCCCCTGCTTGTAAAAACTTGTGATAATCAGCCGCTCTAGTTTTCCTAGTCAGTGGTTTTGGGGAAGTGTTTCTCTTGTGGTCTCTCTCTCTCTCTCTCCCTCTCTCTTTCTCCTCTTTCCAAGATCAAAACTGCCTCCCCTCCGCAGCACCTGTGTTTCTTTTCTCCCCAGAATCATGTCTGGGCACTTCCTATCTTCCCTGATGTGGCTTCTTTTCGCCCTCTAGTTCTGCAGTTTGTACTCTGCCATGTGAGGTCTTCCTCACCCAGCCCAGGTTTTAGGATATCTGACCTTGGGTATAATGAGAAACACATGTGATGTATTTGCTTTAGTAGACATCCTTATTCATACATCAGCCTGTTCTGTGGCAAAACTGGGACCCCAAGAAAGTAAATAATACTGGAATCTAATGTTATAATATAAGCTTAAGCTGTCTTCTTGGCGTGTTTCATCAAAGAGAATGTGGTTTCTTAGCTAAATGTGCATGTTTCTTGGCACATCCTAGGAGTCTCATGATTTTTTTCAGGGCTAGATAAAGCATAATGTATTTTACTTTATTGTTTAAGTAATGTGTACACCCAACATGGGACTCAAACTTACAACCCCAAGATCAAGGGTCTCATGCTCTACCAACTGAGCCAGCCAGGTGCCCTGAGAAAGCATAGTTTAAAGAGAGTTGGGTTGCAGAGAGATGGACTATCTCAGTAGAGGACATGCTAAGGCCTTGGGTACTAGGGCAAGACCTTGGGTTCTAGTCCAAGTCCTACCACTAAATTGCTGTGGAATAACATACGTCACTGCTCTTTTTTGAGTTTCTATTCCTCCAAATGGAAGAAGTCTACAGAGTGAGGAGAGAGATCAAAGCAAGTTCACTGAATTTGAGAATATGATGCTCTCGTGATGACCACTGCCAGATGAAATGGCTGGTTATCTCAAAGCATTAATGTAGGAAGCAGGCTTGAGACAAATGGTCAGGAAGTACGTGATCACAGGGACAAGTTATGGCCTTTTTCTTTAACATCTATCAGGTTAAACTCTAACTCAGAGAAAACCAAACCAACCAAGCAACCAAACAAAATCATTAACACACAAGATTCCTGGGAACAAAATAAAAGGAATGGAGATATAATTTGCATGCTTTCTTATTAGTTTTCCATTTTTTTTCCACAAGGGATTTGCAGTGACTTTGAGGATTAAGAATAAGAAGTAGAGTATCGAGAAGATGCCAAGCAATGATCTCATTAATTATACAGACAGTATTTGCGGGACACACAGAGACATCAGTTATCAAATGTTCACAAATGCCAGTGCACATGTGTATACTTGCTCACCACTTGTAACCCAGGGACTTTGCTGTTAAGACACATAGGAATACCTCTAAATATTCATTCACACTCTAAAATATACACAAACTGAGCCTCTTATTTTATATGCAACTGTTTCCCATCAATATGTTGGTCTTCAGACTTATAATTTTATCCTTCTTGCTCATGAAAAAACACATTACTTGTTAACGTTAACGTCACATTAAAAATGCAGCATCACAAGAAAAGTCTCTGTAACAAAAGCAATTTTCAAAGCTGAGGTGATATTTATTGTAAAGTCTGTTCATTACACTAACACCAAATCCTACAACAGAATTAATCTTCTGCGATTTAGCCTTTATTTTATTCCACTTATAGAGGCAATTACCTTAGAGTATAAACTTCTTCGTTTGAATGTCAGACTCTGCAGAGCGAAGAATCTGTTATCTCTGTTCTAGTGGTAGCGTGGGACCTATGCGTGCAGCCAACTTAACTTTGTCTTACGTTTGTTTCCTTAAGAACTGTTTTTATTTTGTCATATGCAAGATTGATGAGAACTTGAAAAATGGGTGTGTAGTGGGGAAAAAACAAGTATATTGCTACAGGCTTAATAATAACTTATATATTAAATGATAATGAGAAAGACGACTGCTCCCATAGTGGTATTTAGCTTTTCTTCTGTAAAAGTTATTTGAATAACTTCAGTCTAATCAAGGAGGAAGTTATAGTGGAAGGCAGAGTGTAGTATTTATCTTATCTTTCATGCTATAGAATGCAATCATACACATAAAGTTCAATTCTAGGAAATGTTCCACTCTGCAGTGCATCTCTAGAATTAGAGTTTAAAAGAGAGATTAGTTATTTGGACTAGGTGGTGGTTTTAATCAGCTTGAACTGCTAACCGAAGTATCACTGGGTGGCTTAAACCACAGACATTTGTGTCTCACAGTTCTGGAGGCTGGGAAGTCCAAGATTGAGGTGTTGACAGGTTTGGTTTCTGATGAGAACCTTCTTTGTGGCTTGCAGACAGCTGCCCTCTGATTGTGTCCTCTCCTGATAGAGGGAGATTGAACTGGGGTCTCTTCTTCTTATAAGGACACTAATCCCACCATTAGTGAGGGCCTCATGACCTTGTCTAGACCTAATTACCTTCGAAAGGCTGTACCCCCAGGTACCATCACATTAGAGGTTAGAGCTTCAATATATGAATTTTGGGGAGACATAAACATTTGGTCCATAATAATGGTAATGAGAGGGGATGTAAGGAATTTGATCAGGACACTGAATCTCTTCTTCAGTTTCCTGCATTTTCTTACTTTTTTCCATCATCTTCAATCTCTCCCTTAGAGACTGCTTCAAAATTTCCTCAAAAAGGACTTTTACTGGATTGGTCTGAGGAACGATTTTGGCTGGAGGTGGGAAGATGGATCAGCCCTAAACATCTCAAGGTAAGGGGGTTCAAAGCAATGGGAAAAAAAGTGAAAAGGGGAAGAGAAATTATGTGACTGGGGAAATAGATCAAGGATAACAGATGGAGAGGAGAGGAAAGGGTAAGGAAAGGAACTAGGGAGCAGGAGAGGAAATGAATGGTGGATGAGAGCAAAAAAAAAAAAAAAAAAAGACATTTTAAAGAGAGACTAGTGAACAATTTGTATTCTGCTGTTTTGGGAGCTGAGAGAAGTGGGGCCTGAATTGGGAGAAAGAACTGCCCAGTTTTTATCCCTTCATGCCTTGCAGCTCCTTTGCTCTCATGTTACCCTAAGTGATTGACTTTTCTGATTTCTTACAGGATTCTTTCAAACAACTTGATACAGAAGTGTGGTACCATCAGCAAAGATGGTCTCCAAGCCTCTAGCTGTGGAGTTCTTTTACAGTGGGTCTGTAAGAAGGTCAGACTTTGAGGGGTCAGATCTGTCATATGGCTTCCTAGTAAGAAGGAGCAGGCCTCTGGGGCTGGGATGGACATGAGTGTGAATACTGAACCTTCTAGGACATGGCATTTGATGCAAGACTCTGGACTCTCTGAGAACATTTAGATATTATCTTAACAATTTAAAGATCAGATCTAGGAACATTTGGGAAATAAACATTTTTTGTAGTACTTCTCACTCTAGTGACTGATGCTGCCTCCTTCATCCCCATTCCCACCATCTCTGTCAAAAAATGTACCTTTCCTCTATGTTATGATCCAAACTGATCTGACAAAATCCGTGCAGGTGGATACTATTGCTCATGTGTTATAGGGGTTTGATGTGTGCTAGTGGGTTGGCATGTTACTTATTCCTCATACTATATTGTTATATATTATAAAGGGCCCTTCACAGATAAAGCTGTATTCTAAAGGATAATGCTAATAGTGAGAATGTAAGTTGTAGTAAGTGGATGAGAACAGGGTAGTGCTTTCTGCTTCTCAGCTCTTCACTTAGAGACCTGGCCTTGGCTGAATTTAATTTTTCTGGGTGTGCATAGATGTGGTTGAATAAACTGATATATGATCATAGCTTTTCCATGTTGTGAATGTGTGATTTGCAGGTTAATTTCACAGTAGTTGTCAATCTGAAGAAAGTTTACAGAAGCCGTTTACATGCTTGATTCCCAAATTATTTTAGGCATGAATGCCTCAAAAATGAGAAAAACTCGATTATTTCTCTTAAGTAGGGTTTGGAGATAGAGCAGGAGAGAAGGTGCTGTTTAAAAGATATAGGAGGGAGTACTGAAGGGGACCACCATTCTGTACTGTTATGACGCTGGATTATAATCTCTTATCTTTCTCTCATAGATTTTTTTAGGAACATGAACTGTATCTTATCCACCATTGTATCCCTCACACCTAAAATAGTGCTTGTATCAGTGAATATTAAATAAATGAATGGATGAATAAAAAATTTAAAAATTCTGACTCTAGTTTTTTCTGTTAGCCCATGAGTTAATTAGAGGAATTAAGGGCAAGAAACACAGTATTTTCTAATCCTCCCTAACCCTACCTATGTGTGCATTCAGTAGCTGCCTCTAAAGAGGCAATGAACCAGTTTCGTCTAGATGTAATGTTCACAGAAGTGGTGGAAACAAACTCCCATCTCCTTATGATCTCTTACCTTTGGCTCTGGGGTGGGAGGGTGTCTCTTGATTACGAATGTGATGGTAGCGACTCCCGCTTGGTTAAGGATGTAATGATAATGACTCCACTTGGGCCATGGCCATGGCTGCTGCAGGGCGCACAATCTCATTTACTCACTCAAAGAGAAACAGGAGGACGGTATGCTCCTGAGCTCTCCCCTGAGCAGGCAGCTCTTCTCTGCAACAAAGGTTCGGTCTTTTTGCAAGGATTTCTCACCACCTCTCATCAGGATTGGATCTAGTTCTTCACTGCTCTTTCTCCCTTTAGGATGTTACATTAGAAATCACTTATCTCCTAGTTAATTATTTATCCTCTAAACTTACTCATTAGGGGCCAGGGTCAGTTACTAACTCAATTCTTCTACTTTGCCTAGTGAAATAAAGTTTGAGTTTATTTTTGTGTCTGGTGCAAGAAAATGGTCTACTTTCATTCTTTTGCATTATTATTATTATTATTTTTAAAGATTTTATTTATTTGACAGAGAGCGAGACAGGGAGAGCAGGAACACAAGCAGGGGGAGTGGGAGAGGGAGAAGCGGGCTCCCGGCGGAGCAGGGAGCCCGATGTGGGGTTCGATCCCAGGACCCTGCGATCATGACCTGAGCCGAAGGCAGATGCCTAACGACTGAGCCACCCAGGGGCCCCACAAAAATAAAAAATTAACTCTCTTGATCATATAGATATCTCTATGAAAATCTTTTTTTTTCAATCTGTACAAAAGGTCTTTCTTCATAAATTAACTTTTTAAATAATTTAATGGCTGTATACTATGTGATGTTTAATTTATTATTATT